CTAAAAAAATTAGATAGGTGTTACTTCATAACTCTTAATTTCGCCGTATAATTAAGCCAAGCAAAAAAGTACCCTTAAATTGCTGCTTGTTAATAATTGACTGATTTTAGAAAAAATATTTCATCCGCCTTATTAGTAATTAAACTGCCTTTGCCCTTAAGTCCTCAGCACGATGTTCTTCCAGCGTGGTTGAAATAAGTTTGGAATTGGCTTTGTATCCTTTAGGAAGACCTAAGCCTCTCTCTGCTTATTCCATCTCTGGAGAATATCAGAGAATTTTCTTACTTCAAGATAGGAAAGATTTTGGCAGATGACAAAACTGTCCTTTAGTTGAGATCGTAAGCTATTGTTGCTATCATTTTTGATAGCTTGTGAAAAGGCAGAGTTTTTGGTGCTCCTTTATATTTAGTAAAATTCTTGATCGGAGCATGCAAATCTGTGAATGTGTGCGTTCCCTTTAAGTCTGTTTTAATTGACATGATTGCTCCAAAATTGTAGTCGGCTCAGAATTATCCTTGAGCGTATTATCACATTGCAATTGGCCCAATATTGCTTTCAAATTCTAATTGACATTTTCATATACTTGGCATATTAAGTACTTTGTTGACATAAATAGAATCTTTACTTACCATCTAACTAGAACTAGAAGATAGAAATCCTTTAACCTTGCTAATTGTTGATTTGAACTAGAAAGTATGTTATCTTCCTGTCTTGGCAAAAGGATGAAATGAATTCCACTTGGAGAGGAAACAGATAGGCAAAACAGATATTTAAAACTTTGTAGCAAATACTCCATTTGTTTTTCTTTGATATCCTGGTAATTTTGATATCCAAGAAGATTTCTAAAGCCAAACATAAAAACTTTATTTTCATGAACGACCACTTATTTTTGTATTTGTGTCTGCCCTGCTACATTCCTCATTATCATGGAAAACTAAGAAATAGAACTAGGCTGATGGGAGTGTTAGATCAATGAAGATATCAGAGGCAGCAGAGTTTCTTAAGACTGCCTTCATTCCTCATACTACCTGCCAAGTTTGAGAAAGGCCCCCCAAACACCTCAGGTTCAATTCAGGTTCAACTTGACAAAATCAGAGTAGTTACTGAAAGCTTTTATGATCAAAGTTATGATTCATTATGGGGAAAGGATACTAATTAAAGTCAGCCAAGGCAAAAAACACTTACAGCAGAATCCAGGAGACATACAGAAGGCAGAGCATCTGTTGTCATTTCCCCATGGAACTAGGTTTGCTACTCTATTGGGATTGACATGTGACAAAATAAATAGGATACTGTCAACACTAAGCTTACCTATGCTTTGATGTCCACAACTTTATTCAGTCTTCATCATAAAGGTGTAAGTTTATTGTTTCATGTCATTATCTTCCAATCTACAAATACCGTGTGACTCAAAATTCTAACCTACATCATGGTGCTGGCATTTGGGACATAGTCAGTCTGTATCCCAAGATGATATGTGTATGGTCAGCCCATCACATAATACATGATAAGACTATTCAGCATGACCAAAGATCTCAGGTAAAAAGCCACTCCTATTTTGGAGAAAAGCATTGACTATCCCATGGAGAGCCAAAAGAAGAAACAAATATGTCTCAGAGAAATTGTAGCCAGTGTTCCTTACATGCTTGGGACAAGTTGCTTGGAGAGGCTATTACTTGGAGAGGGACATCATACATACTTGGAAAGGTGTAGAGTCGACAGAGAGAGGAAGACCTTTAACCAAATGATTGACAGAGTGACTGCTGCAGTGGGCTTTAGTGTGTCAGGAAGTTTGAGGATGGTACAGGGTAAGGCATGGTCCAGATTTGTTGTTCATAGGATCAGTGTGGGTCATACTAGAGGGTACGTAACAACAACATAAGTCATACTATCTCACAGCCTGGAGATTATTTGTCTTCTCGGCCAAAGGCAGAGACCAGATGTCCTTAGACAAGGCCAAGCTCTTTACAGTAACAGCTGAACCACAGAGGAATGCAATATATAAAGGAATATTTCATCAGTTCCGATCTAGACTCCAGTTATTTTCTAAAGTTGTTATTTTTGCAATGACATTTTGTATTTGAAATTCATTTTTTTTCCCTTGAAGAGAAATATTACAGAATGTTCTCAGATGATCAAAAAAGGTAAAAGTGTAGTTACTCTGCTTAAAGTGAAGTTGACATTGGGGTGGTGTTGGTAGGCAGACCTTCCAGAGCTTTAAAGGAAAAACCCAACTGTTCTAATCTTAGTTGGTTTTTCTGAACTTCTTCTTTGCCTCTTTACATGGCCATCTCATGCATCACTTCTATAAGTAACTATGGCAATTAAAAAAAAATATGTCTTCACATCCTTTGACTGTCAAAGGTCAAAGGGGATTCTCCTTCCCATGAATACTGACCAGACTCAGTACGTTGCCATTCATCAACAGAAAGGAATCCCAGGGATATTGTGTGACTTCAGAGCACAATTTTGAGGTCTTGAAAATCATGTCATTTGCTTTTGTCTTTCTCAGATCAAATAACAATTGTCTTTCTGAGAGACAGCATCATGCTTGTCAACATACTCATATGGGAGCACACATAGCCCAATAGTTATTGCACCCAGCTGATAACAGAAAGGCCAGCAGTTCAAACTCACTCATCACCTACTTTGTAGAAAGAAAGAGACATTTGCCACCCACAGCCAGCACCAATTTACCATTAAAATATGACATATGTAAAAGTGAAACTTCCAGAGAAGTACTTTCGGAATGTTAAAAAAACACTCCTGGAAAGATACAGTATTCCACAAGAGCAATGAGAACACTGGCAAAAACTATTTAAATAAAGTTTCTTCAACTCAGCTCATCCATCAGAAGTTTACGGCAACTAGGGGAACATTTATCTTCTGGGGAGGAGGCGTGAAAGTAAAATCTCATTAGAAAGAGTGAACTGCTTGATATTTTAATATCCCTTCATTTTATCTCTAACAACTTTGCAACCAGAGTATCTGTGAAAATTAGCACTCAGACAACCACTGGAGAAAAGAATGAATTTAGAGTTTACCAAAAACCCCATTCCAGAATATTTTTGTTATTTGATCTGACAGCTACCAGGAAAAGTCCTGTTGTCAAGGCTTGTATTCTTTAACCTGACACAAAGCTCAAACTTATAAACAGCACTATCCCCAGAGTGTTCTTGGGGGGTGTTGGGGAGGAAAAGAAAGGAAATGAGTGTTTAACATGCTACTATTTGAGCTAAGATACTAGTTGGAGCCAAGAAGAAACTGACCATGGATCCTATAAGGGAAAATATGTTGTGTGCCATATAGTGAATTCTGATTCTTAGTGATCCTGTATGGCAGATTATATTCTGTCCCATAAGGTTTTCTGAGCTGTAATCTTGACAGAAACATATCGTCAGGTCTTTTCTACCATGGAGACTTTGTTGGATTTATACCACTCCTTAACTACAGCACCACTTTGGGCATGCCCCTTCCAGTACCATCAAATCATGCAAGGAGTGTTGCTGCTCAACCAAAGAGTGAATTTTTCATTAAGAGGAATTATTTTAGCTGTTGTTACATCTTGCTTTCATTTAGATTTTAGGCTAATTCTTTTAGGTTTAAGCCCTTTAATTCAAATCCTGTTTTACTTTTTTTTTTTTTTTTGTAGTTGCAATATTTTCAGTTCCTTGAATGTTCTTATTGACTTCCATGGCTGTTAATGATTGTTTTTCCATGTGATTTCTTAAAATGTAATCAAGAGAGCCATAACAAAGACTACTTGTTGAGTGATGGACCTCTGCTTTGAAAGAGTGGTCCTGTAGCAGAATGACACTGTTAACATACAATCAGGACCTAACAAAGAATAGTCTTACTGCTTCTTGGAGGCAAGAATTTTGAAGCTCTGTTTCACATACTTTGGGCACATGGCCATTAGGGACCGTCCTTGGAGAAGGACATCATGCTAAGAAGGGTGGAGGGACAGCACTGGAGAGGAAAACCTTGGGTGAGATGCATTGACAATGTGACTTCGGTAATGGGAGTAGGTGTGTCGGAGACAGTGAGATTGGCTCAGGCTAGGGCCGAACTCAGAGGTATTGTGCATAATGACCCTTATGAGTTTCAGTTAACTTGACTGCACATAAAAACGAAGAAGGATTGCTTTCCAGAACCTATCCCCTCTTTACGGGTCTGGCTAATAACTAATCCAGCTTTGCTACTGTCCTTGAAGGGCAGAACTATGGAATTTTTACTTCTTTGTAGTGGAAAAGCATTTACAAAATTAGAGAGGAAATGATTAATTCTAGCTTTTCCTAGTGAAAATTATATTCAGACTCAAAATCTAATAGCAAAGTAACAAGTCTCCAATAATTCTTCCTATAATGTTCCTACCACTCTTTTTAACAGAAGTAACCTTGCAGGCAGATTTTTTTAAAAAATGAATTTTGCTGTCTTATATTAGTCTCGTGGGAGGTGCAAGCAAGTACGCTGCATTGAAGTTAATAAATACATCATCACCTGTCAGTGGCCTCTTCCCCTTAACATACCTTCTCCTTTTGGTTCATCCAAGCCTATGGTTAATAAGCAGGAAGCCAAATAAAGCATGCCCTGGTGCTGCGGTGGTAACACAAAAACTGGCAGTTCAAACTTCCTAGCTGCTCTGCAGCAGAAAGATGTGCCGGTCAGCTTCCGTAAAGATTTATAACTTTGGCAATCCTGTGGGACAAATATATACTGTTCTGTGGGATATGACTTGACTGCAGCAGGTAAATGATATATTCTAAAGCTTTTAACATATTGCCATGTGTAAATGGCTCATTTGAGTATTTCAGAAACTAAACTGGGAGAAAGAACATTGAAGGCTTTGAAAGGATTAACACCTGTTTTCCAGGCTTCAAAGAAATAGGAGAATACCATACATATTCAGAGTAAAACCATTTAATCTCCTGTGTTGAGACTTTTTTGTTCACATTTCAAGTTCAGTGTACCGACGTGCTTACAGGTTTGTTTCACTACAGGATTCTTCACAGAATTTTGGAGATGGAGAAGTTATGAATGGTGTACGGACAGAACTCCTGACATCACAGAAAATCAAGAATGCATTAAGGTATTATCTTTATATGAGTTAAGAACATTCATTTATACTTGATGCTATTTCTTTAATAATTTATATTTATTCTTTTTAATGAGAAAATTGACTAGAACAGTGAGGCAAAACCAGTTCCAATCCCAAAATTAATTGTAATATGTACTCTTTCCATTTTCTTCAAAAGATATGAGTACTTGCTAGCAAATATGAATCGTAATATTTCCAATAAATTTCTGCCCTGTGGGTTTCAGGGTTTCTTCACTGCTTTTACTTTCTATTCACACTGCCCCCTCTCCCCTTCTTTTGTATGACAGTTTTAAAGTGAGCGCTCTGGATTTCTCTTTGAATGGTATACTTTGGCTTAGCTCCGTGAATACATTTTTTTCTTGAATTTCAAAATTTTACTCCATGTTTATAAAAGAAATCTCTTCTATCAAAAATGATTTTTCATATTTCTAAACTGAAGTAAGTTAGTTAGTGTCATGTTTACAAAGTACTTCTTTGCTTTGCACTGATTCATTCTCATTTCTACCCTCGATAATTCTTGTTGTTGGGTGCCACTGAGTCAAATTAAACTGATAGCGACTCTGTAACAAAAGAACTGAATCCTGTCCTATCCTGTGTCACCCTCACTCTCTCTGATACTGTTGAGCCCGTTGCTGCAGTCACAGTGTTAATGCATCTCAATGGAGATCTTCTTCTCTCTCTGACCCTCCATACTCCCAAATATGATATCCTTTTCCAAGGAATAGCCTCTCCTAGCGACATGCCCAAAGTATGAGAGGTGAAATTTGTCATCCTTGCCTCCTAGAGCACTCTGGCTGCGTTGTCCATTCTTTCGGCAGTCCATTCAGTACTCTTTAACATCACAACCCAAAAGCATCAGTTCTTCTGTCATCCTTTTTAATCATCTAGCTCTCAGATGCATAGCAAGTAATTGGAAAAAAACATGGCCTGAATAAGGAGCACTATAGTTTTCCAAGTGACATCCTTCCTCTTCAGTATTTTGGAGAGATTCCTGACAGTGAACTTGCCCAAAGTGGTATGTCTCCTCATCTCCTGACTGCTGCTACCAATGCTGTTGATTGTGGATCCAAGCAAGGTGAAATCATAAACAGCATCAATCCTTTCTCCATCTATCATGATGTTTCCCACTGGCCCAGTGGGATCTTTGTCTTCTTGCTGTTAAGATGCAATCCATGTTGAAGACGATAGTTTTTGATCTTCTGTAGCACGTGCTTCTGGTCCTCTTTTTCAGCAAGCAAGGTCATGTCATCTACGGCACAGGTTGTTTATGAGCCTTCCTCTGCTCCTGAGGACGTGTTCTTCTTCATGGGTCTGGATTCACAGATTATTTGATCAGCCTATAGATTGAATAGGTGTGAAAAAAGGACACAGCAGTGATACACACCCTTCCCAATTTTAAGCCATACAGTGTTTCCTTGTTCTGTTCAGATAACAGTTTTTTGGTCCAAGTATAAATTCCATGTGAATGAAATTACATATTCTGTAATTCCCATTCTTCTCAGTAATTCCGTTTCTTGGTAATTCCCATTCTTCTTGGTGTTAACCATAGTTTGTTGTGTTCCATACAGTCAAATGCCTTTGCATAGTCAATAAAACACAGATAGACATTCTTCTTATAGTCTCTGCATTCAACCAGGATACATTTGACATCAGCAGTGATATCTCTAGTGTCACAGCCTCTTGTAAATCTAGCTTGAACTTCTGGCAGTTCCCTGTCAATATACTGTTTCAGTCATTTTGATGCCTGCAGTAATAATTAGCTTTCATGTACTATTAGTTATATGGTTTGATAATCTCTACATTCTGTTAGATCACCTTTCCTAGGAATGGAGTCAAATATGAATCTCTTCCAGTCAATCAGCCAGTTAACTGTCCTCCAAATTTACTGGCACAGACTAATGAGCACATCCAAGATTGTGTCTGTTAGTTGAAAAATGTCAATCAGTATCCCATTTATTCCTGAAGTCTTATTCTTTTGCCTGTGTCTTCAGTCCAGATTGAACTTCTTCTTCTGTTACCATTGGCTCTTGTTCATAAGATACTTCTTGAAATTTTGTTCTTTTTGCTACAGTGAACTTTGTATTCCTCCCATCTTCTTTTAATGCTTTCTGGATCATGTAAGATGTTGCCCATGGCATTATTTAGTATTCCAACTCAAGGCTTGAATTGGTATTTTAGTTATGTCAGCTTGAGAAATGCTAAGCATTTTTTTTTCTCTTTTTATTCTTTGGTTCTTGACATAATTCATTATAATGCTTTGTTATGTCTTCTCTAGAAACCCTTTGTAATCTTCTGTTCAGTTATTTTACTTCAACAACTCTTAACTTTGTCTTCTCGACACTAATGTCATAGCACTTTTCATAGTTTCTTATATCCATTTTGGCTTTTTTATTCTCCTTTCTCATTGTAATGATCTGTTCCTCTCTTTGTGGGTGATATCCTTTTTTTCATTTAAATCATTGTGTTTTGTACATTAAATTATTTATTCATAGCATTTTTTTTTAACAAATACAAACAACAAGTTTGCACATGGTCCTCACATGGTCAGTCCAGGAATCAGACTGACTACATCTATGGGAAGAATCATTAAGAAGCTCAGTATCAAGAGTCAGAACCAGACTAGGTACTTACTGTATAACAGACCATCAATTACTCAGATGCAAGTTCAAATGAAAACTGAAGAACATGAAAATAAATCCACAAGAAGCAAAATATGACCTTGAGTCTATTCCATTTAAATTAAAAATCCTGAACTTCTTGTCAGGTGCCATTAAATTGAATACAACCCTTTGAACAATGGATCTAAACCCTGTTTCAACTTGTGCCATTCTCATTATCTCAGACATCCTTGTGTCCATTGCTGCAGTCTCTGTGTCTGTCCATCTTATTGAGAGTCAACATCTCTTTCACTGTTTGTCTACTTTTCCAAGAAATGGGCTTTCCTAACAACATTCCCAAAATATGTGAGAAGCAGCTTTGCTATTCTTGCCTCTAGGAGTATTCTTTTTTCTTCTTCTTTTTTTAATTCTAGCTTATTTACAAAATTATTTACAGATTCTTCCAATTTCCCTCCCCCCACCCATAAAATTATAAAAGTCCATCCATGATTAATCTCCCCCATCCACATGCACATCCTCATTACTCTGCTTCTACCCTCCCCCACCTCCTCTGGATCCTTATACTCATTCTACAATAATGGTTTTAGGTAATATTTGTCCTCATGAGACTGAGTTCATTCAGAATAATGCTCTCCAGTCTCTCTCAAGTTAGGTATTAATTTAAAAATCATTTCTCCTGCCTGCTGCACAGTATTCTATTGTGTGAACGTACCCTAATTTCTCAATCCATTCATTTGTGTTTGGACATTTGGGCTGTTTCCATGTTCTTGCAATGGTGAATAATACTGCTATGAACTTTGGTGTATAAATCTCCATTTGTGCCTCACTTCTCATTTTCTCAGGGTATATTCCAAGTAGCGGAATAGCTGGGTCATATGGAATGTCTATGTTCAGCTTTTTGAGGAAGCACCAGACTGCCTTCCAGAACTGTACCATTTTACAATCCCACCAACAATGTATAAGAGTTCCTATCTCTCCACATCCTTTCCAACATTTATTACTTGAAACCCTGTTAAACTTTGCCACTATTACTGGAGTGAGATGGTACCTCGTTCTGCTTTTGATTTGTATCTCTCTTATTGCCAGTGACTTGGAACATTTTTTTCATGTGTGTTGGCCATTCAAATATCTTTCTCTGTGAAAATTCTTTCCTTGTTTTTTTTACCCATTTTATAATTGTGTTATCAGTCGTTTTCTTGTGGAGTCCCAGGAGTTTTCTGTACGCTTTCATTATAACTCTATTTTCTGAGATGGTATTACTTTCTCCAAGACATACACATTTGTTCTTTTGGTGGTCCATGGGAAATTTAGTGCTTTTTTTCAACACCACAGCTTAAAAGGTATCAGTTATTCTTCTGTCATTTTTAATTTTTTTTTATTTTATACTGATTTATTTGCATAGTTCAAATACATTATTTTTCACACAAGATTCTTCCCATTTTCTTCATGCCTTCACCCATCAAATTGTACAACCCTAGATTAACACCCCACCTCCCAAACCCGTTCTCACCCCTCTGCTTCCACTCTTCCCCCTACCGCTTCAATCCTCATACTAATCCTGAAGTAACAGCTTTATACAGTATTTGCCCCTGTGGAACTGAGTTAGTTCACTCAACATAATGCTTTCTAGTCCCTCCCAAGTTAGGTAGTAATTTACAAAATCATTGCTACTGCGTGTTGCATAGTGTTTCATTGTGTGAATGTACCATAACTTCTCAATCCATTCAGTTGTGGTTGATCATCTGGGCTGTTTACATGTTCCTGCGATGGTGAATAATGCTGCTATGAACATTGGTGTACAAGTCTCGGTTTTAGCCTCACTTCTTATTTTCTGGGGGTATATTCCAAGAAATGTAATAGCTAGGTTATACAAAATTTCTGTGTTCAGCTTTTTGAGGAAGTGCCAAACTATCTTCCAGAATGGTTGTACCATTTTACAATCCCACCAACAATGCATAAGAGTTCCTATCTTGCCACATCCTTTTCAACATTTTATTACTTTCTGTCCTGTTAAACTTTGCTACTGCAACTGGGACCTTCTAAAGATTAAATCCTTTTATGCATCAAAACCTTTTTTCCAACGTGTTGGGTGGGGCAGGCGGGAGGGGGGAGAAACCAACAACAACTCTAAACTGAGAATAAACATTTGGCAATACCATCTCAGACAAGAGTCTCATAATAAAATTTTGTAGAAAACTCCTGGGCCTCTGCAAGAAAAAGACTGATAACACAATTACAAAATGGGCAAAAGACATGGTAAGAATTTCCATAGAGGAAGATATTCGAATGGCCAACAAATGCATGAAGAAATGTCCCAAATCACTGGCTATAAGAAATGCAAATCAAAATCACAATGAAATATCATCTTCTGTC